TATCAGTGTGTGGTGTGAGTGTGTATCGGTGTGGTGTGAGTGTATCAGTGTTTGGTGTGAGTGTGTATCGGTGTGGTGTGAGTGTATCAGTGTGTGGTGTGAGTGTGTATCGGTGTGGTGTGAGTGTATCAGTGTTTGGTGTGAGTGTGTATCGGTGTGGTGTGAGTGTGTATCAGTGTGTGGTGTGAGTGTGTATCGGTGTGGTGTGAGTGTGTATCAGTGTGTGGTGTGAGTGTGTATCAATGTGAGTGTATGTATCAGGGTGTGGTGTGTATCACTGCGTGGTGTGCGAGTGTGTGGTGTGTATCGGTGTGTGAGTGTGTATCAGTGTGTGTGTATATCAGTGTGTGAGTGTGTATCAGTGTGTGTGTATCAGTGTGTGTGTGTGTATCAGTGTGTGAGTGTGTATCAGTGTGTGTGTATATCAGTGTGTGAGGGTGTATCAGTGTGTGTGTGTGTATCAGTGTGTGAGTGTGTGTATCAGTATGTGGTGTGTGAGTGAGTGGTGTGTATCAGTGTGTGTGAGTGTGGTGTCTATCAGCGTTTGAGTGTGTATCAGTGTGTGAGTGTGGTGTGAGTGTGTGTATCAGTGTGTGTGAGTGTGTGTGTGAGTGTGTATCAGTGTGTGAGTGTGGTGTGTGAGTGTGTATCAGTGTGTGTGTGAGTGTGGTGTGTGTGTGTGGTGTGTGAGTGGGTGTGAGTGTGGTGTGTGAGTGTGTGGTGTGTGAGTGTTTATCAGTGTGTGAGTGTGTATCAGTGTGTGAGTGTGGTGTGTGAGTGCGTATCAGTGAGTGTGTGTGAGTGTGGTGTGTGAGTGTGTATCAGTGAGTGTGTATCAGTGAGTGTGGTGTGTGAGTGTGTATCAGTGAGTGTGTGTGAGTGTGGTGTGAGTGTGTATCAGTGTGTGAGTGTGTATCAGTGTGTGAGTGTGGTGTGTGAGTGTGTATCAGTGAGTGTGTGTGAGTGTGGTGTGTGAGTGTGTATCAGTGAGTGTGTGTGAGTGTGGTGTGTGAGTGTGTATCAGTGAGTGTGTGTGAGTGTGTGAGTGTGTATCAGTGAGTGTGTGTGTGTGGTGTGTGAGTGTGTATCAGTGAGTGTGTGAGTGTGGTGTGTGAGTGTGTATCAGTGAGTGTGTGTGAGTGTGGTGTGTATCAGTGTGTGAGTGTGGTGTGTGAGTGTGTATCAGTGAGTGTGTGAGTGTGGTGTGTGAGTGTGTATCAGTGAGTGTGAGTGTGGTGTGTGAGTGTGGTGTTTGTGTATCAGTGAGTGTGAGTGTGTATCAGTGAGTGTGAGTGTGGTGTGTGAGTGTGTATCAGTGAGTGTGTGTGAGTGTGGTGTGTGAGTGTGGTGTGTGAGTGTGGTGTGTGAGTGTGTGTGTGTGGTGTGTGAGTGTGTATCAGTGAGTGTGTGTGAGTGCGTGTGAGTGTGTATCAGTGTGTTTGTGAGTGTGGTGTGTGAGTGTGTATCAGTGAGTGTGTGTGTGTGGTGTGTGAGTGTGTGTCAGTGTGTGTGTGTGAGTGTGTATCAGTGTGTGAGTGTGGTGTGTGAGTGTGTATCAGTGAGTGTGTGTGAGTGTGGTTGTGAGTGTGTATCAGTGAGTGTGTGAGTGTGGTGTGAGTGTGTGTGAGTGTGCATCAGTGTGTGAGTGTGTATCAGTGTGTGAGTGTGTATCAGTGTGTGTGTGAGTGTGGTATGTGAGTGTGTATCAGTGAGTGTGTGTGAGTGTGTATCAGTGAGTGTGGTGTGTGAGTGTGGTGTGTGAATGTGGTGTGTGAATGTGTGTGAGTGTGGTGTGTATCAGTGAGTGTGTGTGTGGTGTGTGAGTGTGTATCAGTGAGTGTGGTGTGTGAGTGTGTATCAGTGAGTGTGGTGTGTGAGTGTGTATCAGTGTGTGAGTGTGTATCAGTGAGTGTGAGTGTGGTGTGTGAGTGTGTATCAGTGTGTGAGTGTGGTGTGTGAGTGTGTACCAGTGAGTGTGGTGTGTGAGTGTGTATCAGTGAGTGTGTGAGTGTGTGAGTGTGAGTTTGTATCAGTGAGTGTGTGAGTGTGGTGTGTGTGTATCAGTGAGTGTGTGTGTGTGTGGTGTGTGAGTGTGTGAGTGTGGTGTGTGAGTGTGTATCAGTGAGTGTGAGTGTGGTTTGTGAGTTTGTATCAGTGAGTGTGTGAGTGTGGTGTGTGTGTATCAGTGAGTGTGTGTGTGTGTGGTGTGTGTGTATCAGTGAGTGTGTGTGTGTGGTGTGTGAGTGTGTGAGTGTGGTGTGTGAGTGTGTATCAGTGTGTGAGTGTGGTGTGTGAGTGTGCATCAGTGAGTGTGGTGTGTGAGTGTGCATCAGTGAGTGTGTGAGTGTGTGAGTGTGAGTTTGTATCAGTGAGTGTGTGAGTGTGGTGTGTGTGTATCAGTGAGTGTGTGTGTGTGGTGTGTGTGTATCAGTGAGTGTGTGTGTGTGGTGTGTGAGTGTGTGAGTGTGGTGTGTGAGTGTGTATCAGTGAGTGTGAGTGTGGTGTGTGAGTTTGTATCAGTGAGTGTGTGAGTGTGGTGTGTGAGTGTGTATCAGTGAGTGTGTGTGAGTGCGGTGTGTGAGTGTGTATCAGTGAGTGTGTGTGAGTGTGGTGTGTGAGTGTGTATCAGTGAGTGTGTGTGACTGTGTGAGTGTGTATCAGTGAGTGTGTGTGTGTGGTGTGTGGGTGTGTATCAGTGAGTGTGTGTGAGTGTGGTGTGTGAGTGTGTATCAGTGAGTGTGTGTGTGTGGTGTGTGTATCAGTGAGTGTGTGTGTGTGGTGTGTGAGTGTGTGTCAGTGAGTGTGTGTGAGTGTGGTGTGTATCAGTGTGTGAGTGTGTGTGAGTGTGTGTGTGAGTGTGTGTGTGAGTGTGGTGTGTGAGTGTGTATCAGTGAGTGTGTGTGAGTGTGGTGTGTGAGTGTGTATCAGTGAGTGTGTGTGAGTGAGTGTATCAGTGTGTGTGTGAGTGTGGTGTGTGAGTGTGTATCAGTGAGTGTGTGAGTGTGGTGTGTGAGTGTGTATCAGTGAGTGTGAGTGTGGTGTGTGAGTGTGTATCAGTGAGTGTGTGAGTGTGGTGTGTGAGTGTGTATCAGTGAGTGTGAGTGTGTATCAGTGAGTGTGAGTGTGGTGTGTGAGTGTGTATCAGTGAGTGTGAGTGTGGTGTGTGAGTGTGTGTGAGTGTGGTGTGTGAGTGTGTGTGAGTGTGGTGTGTGAGTGTGTATCAGTGAGTGTGTGTGAGTGTGGTGTGTGAGTGTGTATCAATGAGTGTGAGTGTGGTGTGTGAGTGTGTGTCAGTGAGTGTGAGTGTGGTGTGTGAGTGTGTATCAGTGAGTGTGTGAGTGTGGTGTGTGAGTGTGTATCAGTGTGTGTGAGTGTGTATCAGTGTGTGTGAGTGTGGTGTGTGAGTGTGTATCAGTGTGTGTGAGTGTGTATCAGTGAGTGTGTGAGTGTGGTGTGTGAGTGTGTATCAGTGAGTGTGAGTGTGGTGTGTGTGTGTGGTGTGTGAGTGTGTATCAGTGAGTGTGTGAGTGTGTATCAGTGTGTGTGAGTGTGGTGTGTGAGTGTGTGTGAGTGTGTATCAGTGTGTGTGTGTGGTGTGTGAGTGTGTATCAGTGTGTGAGTGTGGTGTGTGAGTGTGTGTGAGTGTGGTGTGTGAGTGTGTATCAGTGTGTGTGAGTGTGTATCAGTGAGTGTGTGAGTGTGTATCAGTGAGTGTGTGAGTGTGGTGTGTGAGTGTGTGAGTGTGTGTGAGTGTGTATCAGTGAGTGTGTGAGTGTGGTGTGTGAGTGTGTGTGTGTGTGAGTGTGTGTGAGTGTGTGGTGTGTGTGTGTGTGGTGTGTGTGAGTGTGTGTGAGTGTGTATCAGTGTGTGTGTGTGTGGTGTGTGAGTGTGTATCAGTGTGTGAGTGTGTGTGAGTGTGGTGTGTGAGTGTGTATCAGTGTGTGTGAGTGTGTATCAGTGAGTGTGTGAGTGTGGTGTGTGAGTGTGTGAGTGTGTGTGAGTGTGTATCAGTGAGTGTGGTGTGTGAGTGTGTATCAGTGTGTGAGTGTGGTGTGTGGTGTGTGAGTGTGTGTGAGTGTGTATCAGTGAGTGTGAGTGTGGTGTGTGAGTGTGTATCAGTGTGTGAGTGTGGTGTGTGAGTGTGTATCAGTGTGTGAGTGTGGTGTGTGAGTGTGTGAGTGTGTGTGAGTGTGTATCAGTGAGTGTGTGAGTGTGGTGTGTGGTGTGTGAGTGTGTGTGAGTGTGGTGTGTGAGTGTGGTGTGTGAGTGTGTGAGTGTGTATCAGTGAGTGTGAGTGTGGTGTGTGGTGTGTGAGTGTGTGTGAGTGTGGTGTGTGAGTGTGTGAGTGTGTATCAGTGAGTGTGAGTGTGGTGTGTGTGAGTGTGTGAGTGTGTGTGAGTGTGGTGTGTGAGTGTGAGTGTGGTGTGTGAGTGTGTATCAGTGTGTGAGTGTGGTGTGTGAGTGTGTATCAGTGTGTGAGTGTGGTGTGTGGTGTGTGAGTGTGTGTGAGTGTGTATCAGTGAGTGTGAGTGTGTGTGTGAGTGTGTGAGTGTGGTGTGTGAGTGTGTGTGAGTGTGTGAGTGAGTGTGAGGTGGTGTGTGAGTGTGTGAGTGTGTGTGTGAGTGTGTGTGAGTGTGTGAGAGGTGGTGTGTGAGTGTGTGTGAGTGTGTGTGAGTGTGAGTGAGTGTGAGTGTGAGTGTGGTGTGTGAGTGTGTGTGAGTGTGTGTGAGGTGGTGTGTGAGTGTGAGTGTGGTGTGTGAGTGTGTGAGTGTGTATCAGTGAGTGTGAGTGTGGTGTGTGCTCACAGTGTGAGGTGGTTGGTGCTCTGCCCCTCACTGCCCACTGACTGTCTGTGTGTATATTGTGCGCTGTGGGGCTCTGTGTGTGTCAGTGAGTGAGTGAGAGACAGACAGACACAGAGTGAGTGAGTGAGTGGTGTGAGTTGTGCCCTCAGTCAGTGAGTGCTGATTGGTGCCGCGGTCCCAGCGCTCCCAGTGGCTGTGTGGGGTATTGCTGGCGGTGCGCAGTGAGGGCTGTGGCTGTGGCGGAGAGAGGTCGCGATGGGGCTCCGCTCGGGGGTCACCTACACGAGCGGCATCGTGTGCGTTGCCCTCCTGATCGTCAGCATCGCTCTCCTCGTCTCCAACGTCTTCACGGAGCTGATCAACAGCACCGTCAAGAAGGTGAGAGAGAGAGAGAGAGACACACACACACACACACCCCCAGAGCTGCCCCTGGAGAGGCTGCGGACAACGTTGCGCTTTGCACCAACAACCAAAGGGCGGGGGAGGAAATGCAAGAGCGCAGGACGCAGTTGCATTTGTGTTAAATGTTAATTTAAATGCATGTGTCGTTGCCTGTTTCACACACACACACACTCACAGAACACTACACACACGACACTGCACACACACACTGACTTGTTTTGCTCGCTCTCAGCCTCGGGGTGTGAGTGTGCAGAGCCTGGCCTCAGCTGTCTGGGTTGCAAAACCTCAAAGCAGCTATTGCAACTCTTTTAAGTTTAGCTGGTTTGGTTTGGTTTGGTTAGGTCGGTGAGTTAGGTCGGCAGCTCCCAGCACTTTACATCTAAAAGCTCCTCTTTTTTTTAAAACAAGAAACAAAAGAGAGGCATGTTTTTTTTTGACAGTGTTGGAGCATTCTCTACTCCAAAGGCTGGGCACCAAGAGGGTGGAAATAATCATTAAGAATAATGATAATCCTTGTATTTGATACAGCGCTTTATGGTGTCGTTGAGGTGTCTCAAAGAATATACTGTGAAGTGGATTGACTTGTGTATTTTGCGAGTGTAAAAATGGCAGCCGATCACACACGCAGCAGTGCCCACAAACAGCCGTGGAAATATCATTTGCTGTGAAAGGTTCAGCGCGGAGTTTGTATGAGTGACCCCTTTTGATCCCTTACAAATATTCTGGACTGACTTACGTTTGTCATTGATTGTACAGTACAGCAGCTGCTCTCTCTCACACACATTGTTGGCTCGGTAAGTTTGCAGTCGACTGAGTGGATTCCAAGCAGTTGCTATCTTATTCTATCAACTAGGAATGGATAACAACAATTTGCATTGATTATAGTGCCCCTCACGAGCAGTCGCGTCCCAGAGCGCTGGTGGTGTCTTCACAGTCCAACATTCTGTTTGGAGTGGTTCAACGTAATTTGATCCCCAATTTTATAATTCTTTGTATTTTTTAAAGTCACTGGATGTCATTGGTATGTGGAAATATTGACAGTGTATTGGACTACAGAGTAGAAATCTGCAATAGGCCAAAAGTTAAAATGGCCTGTTTTCAATGAGCAGTGCTGATGGTAGTCGTAAAAATTGGCTCATGGTTCACGTGTGAGGATTTGCATCTTGTGATTCCATGTGCAATGATTCAGCTGCTGTGTCTTTGTGAGTGAGCACTAAGCTGATTATTCCCCACTCCAAGTGAAGGAGGCAAAAAACAGAGAGTGATTTACCACCTGATGCGAGCACAGAGCTATGCCCCATTGACTGAGGTTGGGAAGCTTATTTGCAATTTCACACTGTGATTCGGGGTAATGGAGGAAAAATAACCTGCTGAAGAGAAAAGAAATGCTCCAGAATAAGCGTAGAGCAACATAGACCCACTTAAAACTTGGTATTGCAGGCCTCTTTTGTAGAAGAATGGTGTTTTTATTTTTTTTCCCCCTGCTCATAATCGTATTAACTCAGTGTTAATGCCATCACAAAGCGAATGTGATTTGCCTTGTGGCTGCTCTGCCTGCTAACATAAAATTATGCCCATACCCAAGGTATATTTACTGCTGTATATTTTCTTTTTAAAATCCAAAATAAACAATTCTGCCAGTGTTTTGTGAATTGCAAACGATAAAACAATGCAAACTATGACCACATCTTCCAAAAACACATAGTACTTTGTGTTTTTGAAGGATGCGGTCAGTTTGCTTTACGCTTTTTTTTAATTGTAAACCACCAAATATTTTATAATTGTATCGGCTGATCTTTAAATATGCCAATGAAATCCCATGCATTTTAAGGAGCCCTTTATTTATGTTGTGCAACTGTTAAAATACAAAACGAATCAATATGTTGACAAAAATATGATCAACGTGAAAATGCTACATTGTATGGATCTGGACTCATTCACATCCTGTCAGGCAACAACAAGAAGATTGCATTTATAGAGCGCCTTTCACATGTCGGGAGGCAAGCACCAGAAACTCAGTGATGTGAGATGCCAAAACCTGTTGCGAAACTAAGTTTGTAGATCGACGCTCAACTTCTAATTCGAATAAAATAATTCACCCGATTGACAGAAGTGCTGCTGGGGTGAATGCCAGGTGACAAGTTGAATGTTGTGCTGATGTTCTCCTGTACAAATGAGTTATTTCTTCCATTGAACTTGATTAACTTCTCAGCTGTGCAATTTGAGAAGGACCTGTGCCAGGGTGTTTCCTAGTAAGAACTCTTGGACAGTTTGATTCTCTTTTGGGGAATAAAAACTACTTTTGTTCCACATGTTAGTGTGTTAACACTTTGAAACATTTTTCAAAAAGAATAAACAGCGTCAGAATATCTGAATTGGAATTCCTTGATCAATGTACATGTGAGGATATTCATTAGACACATTGTAGCCAGAATTAGATTTGATTTTGATTAATCAATTATTATTACAAATTTGAGGAAATTGGACTTGGGTCTGTGCCAAAGTTATGGAACTGCTGTGATTCATGTTTCGTCATGAAATATTCAGTTGGAATTGTGATCACAAGCCCTCATGATACATTTTGACTAGTTTGCTTATCTATGTGATTATCAAGAATGCACAACAAACAATAGGTACTTCTTGAAGATTTTTAAAAAAAATTACAAATGTTTTACACAACTCCGTGAAGCGGGCCTTCATCCTGCTTTTTTTTGGGGGGGTGGGGGCTGTGAAGAGAAACAATGCTGGATAGCAGAATGGATGATTCTTCCCACTGTCCTAAGTGTGTGCTGGCCACCAGGAGCTGTTGGGCTGAGCTGTTGATCTACAGGTCACAATATGTGCTGTGGTTACGTTCCTTGCGTTATAGTTGCAACATGTCCTATAGTTCTTTGTGATGTAGTTACAACATGACCCATAGTTACATGTGGAGTTCTGTAGCTCAGTGGTTAGAGCACTCGCTTTGCAAGCGAGAGACCTGAGTTCAATTCTAGGCAGAGGGCGAAACCTTGGGCAAGTTTCCTTACTCCACACACCTAATAATAATCCCTCCAAAAACAATAATAAAATTGGCATTTTCAATCAACGACTGTTTGTGGGACATTGCTGTGCCCAATTGGCTGCCGCGTTCGCCCACAAATTTACAGTCAATTCACTTTACAGTGTGTTCTGTGAAGCGCTTTGGGACGTCCTTCCGACGTGAAAAACGCTATATCAAATGCAAGGATTATTATTATTATTATGTGCTATAGATGCAACATAATAATAACCCTTGCATTTAATATAGTGCCTTATCGCGTCATTTATTCGTCTCAAAGCGCTTCCAGAATATATAGTAAAGTGAATTGACTGCATTTTATGGGTGACGCACGGCAGCCAATTGCTCACAGCAGTGTCCCATAAACAGTCGTGGATTGAGTGACCACATTTTTTTAAATCGCTCCACGCAGATAACTCTAACCTGCAAACACTTCTCCCCCACATTCATTTTTTTTTATTAAAGGTGATAGTCAGATGGGTTAATTTTCTGACATGCTAATTGAGACTTCCATTCTGAGATTGCCACAACTGTTAACAAATTGCCTTTAAATATTGCGAGGGAGGGGGAGAAACATTGAGAAAACCTGTTTTGCGGTCAACTTTCTGACGGATTTTACAGATGTTTGGTACTTCATTATTTTGAAGTAAAATCCAGTTTTGTGTGAAATATAAAGTTATTGACTCAAAAGTAGAGAATTTTTACAACATGTTCCTGTTGTGCTGCAACAATAATAATAGTGGTTTGAGAGACCAATTTTATTTTTCCTTTTTTGGAGTGATTATTACCCACAGAAAGCGATCCACCAATTGACTAACAACCCATTTCTTGCTTCCTGCTAGTTAAACAGAGGCATGTGGAGTTATAATAATATAATAATAAGTAAGGTAAGGAAACTTGCCTAAGGTTTCCCCCTGCCCTGGAATTAAACCTGCTCCTCTTGCTTGCGAGTCAAGTGCACTAACCACTACCCTACAGGATTCCACATAAGATTTGGAATGGAAGTTATAAATGAATTTTAAAACCTGACTTTTTGTGGACCTTTGTTATTAAGATTTCCCCCTCCTATAAACCAAAGGGTGGACCTTGAATAGTTATCTTAGGAATTCATATTGATCCTTGGTGACAGCAATAATATTAGTTTAAGCACTCTTAGTTACCTCATTTTCTATCGCTTGTGTTTATCATCGTTGGATCTTGCCAATGCTTCCACATCTCAGACACTGGCTATATGTGGCTCATTTCAATTCACAGAGCCTGTGTGGAACCTTGGCATTTTATTCAACCTTGACTTACTCCTTTAAGCCTTTTCATCCCGGCTTTGACCAAATCCACTTTCTTCCATCTCCATAACATTACCTGCCTCTGCCTTTTCCCCCAATGCAGCGAAAATCCTCATCCACAACCTCTGTCACCCTCAACAATGTACCTGCCGGTCGGTCTCCCTAGTTCCAGATCATCCAGAACTCTGCAGCTCGCATCCGCTCCCCGCGCCCCTGCTTATTCTCTCCCAAACTCTTCTATGTTGCAGTCCTCTCCTATGATAGTTTGTGCAAGTGCATCAAACCGATCCTTGCTCAGCCCACTGGGTCCTTATTCCCCAGCTGACTTTGGTAAGTTCATTGCCCTTGAGTTCAAATGCCTCCACAGTCTTGCCCCATCTTAACTCCTCCTCTGCTCCACCTACTCTGGCTTGTCTCGTGCTCTCCACTCGCCCCTGCCCGCTATTGTTTGTATATGAACTTTCAGCTGCTTTCCTGCTACTCCCGAGAACTCTCTTCTGAAATCCCTCCAGCTTGTTCCCTCCCTCTTGCTTTCAAAACTTGTCTAGAGACATATCTTTAAATGTACCTTTGACCACCTCTTACCCCCAGTACCCAATGCTGTCCTAGCTCAGGCTTCCACTTTCTTTATAAAGAGTTTTGAGACATTCTCTCGGCGTGAAAGACACACTATATAAAGTGCAAATTGTTTTAGATTGGCAGAGAAATTTGGGATGTTCATTCTTAAACTGTTTATTTGAAGACCAAGAGGAAAGCAGGTGTCTAAATTACCAGCTCTTTCTGAATTCTGTGTTCTATCGGCCTTCATCATCAAATTTTGATCTGTTTGTGCACGTTTGTGTATACTGTATTTACTGAATGCAGCTGCAGATGTAACTGAGGTCATAATCTATCGTGCAGTAAACAAAAGCCTTTTTAGATTGTTTCTGTTTCAGAATTGGCAGCTCTGTATCTTCTGATCACATGTGCAGAATAAACCCTGTGACTGGAATTAACTATTTCTGCCGCAATGATGTTCTTGAGAATTTGCCGGTCAATATTGGTGGTCATCGTAAATCGCTAGCATTGTCTTTTTACAGGAGTTTCAGCTGAGAAATGGTACTGAGGCTTTCAAGGCCTGGAAAAATCCTCCACCACCGGTTTACATGCAGTTCTACTTTTTTAATGTTTCAAATCCTGCTGAGGTATTAGCTGGAGGAAAGCCCTTTCTTGAGGAGAGAGGCCCCTACACTTACAGGTAATAGAAACTTTGGTGTAGTGTGTTTGATAATTCAATGTCTTGTGCCTTTTGTAATTCCCAGACCTGACCTTTTTTTGTGCGAGTGTATCTGCTAAAAAGAGATGCCCTGACCTTTCTCTGTGGAATGAAAAACCAAGGGCTGGGTGGCTTGTTTCGAAATCCCTGCCATTGCGCTCATTCTCTGTCCAATAAGAAGGGCCACTTGACTGTCACTATCCAACTGTTTGAAAAAGCATTACAATCAAATATAGAATGTTACAGTATGGAATAGGACATTCGACCCATCAAGTCTATGTTGGTGTCTCTTCAGTTTGCTAGCTATATCCTTTCCATTTGAACATTCCTTGCCTGTGAAGCCTATCCTGGTAAACAAGGTACCCAATGTCCCAATTCTAGCCATCAATATGATTGTGCTTTGCCGTCCATACCGTAACCGCAGCTAGAGTTGTCCCTGGTATTGCAGGTGAATTGGACCAGTGCCCTACCAAAGTTTCAATGACTCGTTGTTCCATTCACTTTGGGCTAAACACCAAGATCCTGCCAACTTTAAACGAGAATGCTAAAGGGCGATCTTATTGTATATAAGACCTTAAAGATCTGTTTCAGTAAAGCAAAATCCACTTTTCTGACCAGGTCTCCATATTGGCCATCATTACACTCTGAGCATGTGCTATTAAATGGCTACTCAATTTTATAAGCCTTTATTCATTGCATAACTATTTCAGAGAGTACAGACAGAAAGAAGATGTGACGTTTGCGGAGAATGGATCGGCCGTGTCAGCTTTGACCCCAAAGACGTATGTGTTTGTTCCTGACATGTCTGTGGGAGATCCTAAAGTTGATTTAATCAGTACTGTGAACATCCCAGCTGTGGTATGTTTTTATTACATTTTCTCCAATTTTTTTTTGAAACCACACAATTACAGTTTGTTTCTTAAAAACTTGCAGTGACATAGCAAGGGATGCATTCTGGTACAAATTTCCATCTTCAGCTGGAGCCACAAGCTTATGAAGGGGCTTTGCTTCTTTTCGTGGCTGTTTGGATTTCCATGTTCAATCCTGACTTTGTGCTGAGTTAGGTGGTGTCCACCAAGGTGGATTACAATGCAATATAAAATTATATTTGTATAGCGCCTTTCACGTTGGGAGGACGTCATGGTATCCTGGCTGTTCCTGATTGTAATACCATGATTAATTTACTGGAATTGTGTGGACATCTAGTGAGAACATGAGGCTCAGATGTGATCCTCCCAATTGTCACACAGCCTGACATCACAACTACTATTTGAAACTGATTATTGACTGCTTTTACAAGGTATAGTGCAAGGGAGTCTGCCCGGGCTTGTGGAAATGTATTTCACCTTGTAAGTTTTTCTCCTTCAAGAGGAAGGAATACCAGAGGATTTGGGTGAAGCAGATCTCTCTATGGCCACGATACCTGGCAATTTTCTATAATATGCAGTAATGAGGAAAGTTTCATTTGAATGCAATTTTCTTGAAGCTGTTCAATGTATGTAAAATGTCTTTGTTCACAAAGCTATGCAAATCCATCTCTGATGCTAGCACTTGTGTGTGCTATGATCTTTGCATTGATTATTTGTTAAATTTGCAGAATAAAACCCTGTTCCTCATTTCTGATAAACTTACAATGTTTACGATTCTAGTTGATTTCATTTCAGCTACCCTCGTTCCATGTGTGGGGAGGTGGTGTCTATTTCTTCCAAAAGTACCAAACATGTGATTATTACTCACAGATCTGGTTTGCGAAAGGTTATTGGTATAACTTTTTCTTCTTAACTTCATACACTGGAGTCTTGAGGGAAAACCACAAAGCATGCTATGGCTGAACTCTGAATTATTCACCCTTGGCATGATTTTACTGAGATCTTGTGAAATTCTCATGAGGCACTGACCCTCTGCCTTGTTTGACTCCAGCAACTTCTGCAAATGCATATTTACATTTGTATTGTCAGGAGAAATAAAGCAACAAGTCTTATTAGTCTTGTTAGACTCCCAAGAAATAATAATTCCCCTTGTCGCGCCACACCCCCCCCACCCCCCATTCGATGACTTATGCCAAAATACAATGATCATTTTTCTTTGGTCATGTGGCTATCTGACGCATATTGAAACCCATCACATTCCTGTGAGTAGCCAACTAGACGGGGAGTTCCACATATGTATGCCACCTACACATGGAAATGTTCTTGGTCTGAAATGGAACACGCACTTGCTCTGGAGGAATCCACTTGCTTACCTACTCAGCAATAGGCACAAGTAGCAAGAGCCGAGGCCTAGGGTCTTCATGCTGGAGCTGGAATTTAACCAACTTAAAATCCCATAGCTTGCCATTAACAGCATGGTCTGGCAAGCTTCTCACTACCTCTCAAGCTGGACACCCTACCTAATAAGGCTTTGGTTTACAAAGTTAACGAGAGCTGACTGAGAAGAATCCCTGTCCGTGGTGACTGGTCTACCCCTCCAAATTGAGCCAGGCTGGCTGGGCTGCCATTAGCAGTGCCCTGGAATACCTGTGCCCACCTGGCTCAGGAACTGGATTACTGAGACCGTCTCAGAATGTTAACTGTTAACTCAATTCTGACATTACTTTGCCAATTTGTTGATCTGAAGGTCTTCCTGTAAAAACAATAGAGTTATTGTTTTGTCAACTTGTGCTTTAAATTTACATTGTTTTTTGTTTATAAATAGACTGTCATGGATATGGCCCAATATTCTAATTTGATGGTATTTGCGGTGAAAGCTATTTTACATTTTACGGGAGAGGGTCTGTTTACAACTCGAACAGCACATGAACTGCTTTGGGGTTATCAAGATCCACTACTACAATCGGTTCACATTTTGAAACCAGATATTGATGGATCCTTCGGACTGTTCTATAAGGTAAATCAAGCCTGTCATATTGATTGCATTGCTAATAACTTGCCAGTTACACAATTTAAAAGTTTGACGTGTGTCCAGCTAAAGGATGTTGACTTGGGAAGGTTATCATGATTCGTGTATATTCAGAAAATCGGTTTCTGTATTTGTATATTTAAATTTGGGAACAAAAGATGCCTACAGATTTCTGAGCTAACACAGGGATTTCTCCTTGTGGACAGATTCCACCGAATATACTAAATGGGTATTCAATAAATTGGTTAATTCAATTTAGCTATGCATTTGACCAGATGATGAAATCGTCTATTTTCTTTGTTATATTTCTCAAGTGCGCTCCTTGCTAGTCTTCCCAGTTCCACCATCCACAAGGTCCAACTAATATGAAACATTGCCACTCGTTCTGCACCAAGCTCTGTATGCCCATCCTCATTGGGCTACACTGGCTCCTTGTCTCGAATTGATTGATTTCAAGGTTCTTGCCCTCACATATAAATGTCTTTAATCACTAATTGCTCTCTGATCGGCTCATATCCCACTCTTCTGCCTGTCCTCAGCTAATGCATGCCTGCTGCACATCTTCCTATTCTCCACTTTACCATCAGTAACAGTTTTCAGTTACTATACCTGTAACTTCTGGAAGTCCCTGTCTTTATCCTTCCACCTGCTCCCTCTTTATTTTTAAATCACACCTTAAAACTTGCCTCTTTAACCTCATCTTTTGCCACCTCCCACTTCTCCCTTGCATAATGTCTAACCTCGTCTTTGGGGTATTCAGAGATGTTATAGTACACCTCCTTCAAGGTCTGCGTGAAGACCTTCTACTTTGGTCATTTTTCCCCCACCCCCAAATTCAACCCCCAGCTTGGGTGCAAACCCTCAACCCTAGCATCTTGGGATGTCCTCCCAAGAGAAAGGTGCTGTATAAATGCATGTTGTTGTGAAAGTCATTATATAAATGCAAGTCTATGTATGTATTGAATCATGCATCATTTATTAGTAATTGACACTTAAAATACATATGCTTGCAATTTTAGATGAATGGTACAGCTGACGGAGATTATGTCATACTGACGGGGGAAGAAAACTACATGGATTTTGCTAAAATTATTGAGTGGAGTGGTCGCAAGTAAGTCTCTTATTTTATATCCAATTTATTTCAGCTCCTCTGGACTACACCAGAACATCAATTGTGCCTAATGACTGAACTTTTGAGATTCTGATTATTTGATTTTATGAAAGGGGGAGCGAAGAGAAACTAAATGGCTAAATAAGAATTGTTTTTAAATGCACTTTCTGCTCAGTTATTGGGTCTATTTATTGATCATTGTCAAGTGTGGTACTTAACCTGTAACATGAATTTTTCTTTTCAAACCAGGTCATTAGATTTGTGGCTGACTGATCAGTGCAACATGATCAATGGTACCGACGGCACTTCCTTCCATCCACTAATGACGAAGAATGAAACCATTCATTTCTTCTCTTCAGATCTTTGCCGGTAAAAAAAACAATCATCTCAAAACATTTTCATCCATGAGCAAATTTGAACTGTGGTAATTATGGTTTAAGAGACATGATTAAAATGACTGTTTGCCAGATATTTTGTTTTCCTCCAAAGTACAACCATTGACGTGTTTGAAGCATTTCTTACTCTGGGATGTTGGGGACAGAGCAGGGGAAGTTATTTTTACTTTAGATTTTAAGTCGTTAGTTATAGGGAAGAGATGCTGTGGTTTCAGATATTGCATATACATCTCCTGGGCAGAAAGAAAATTGCTCATAACTTGAGGTTAATAATTTCTCCACTGCCAAACCAGGTCATTAGATTTCTGGCAGACCGATATGTGTAACGTGATCAATGAATGGTCAGATAGTTTGACGACGTGATAAGACGCTATATCAAATGCTATTTATTAACAGCAAATACAATATTAAAATTCTAAAGGTTTTTCAAAAGCTTATCAGGGTTTAGCTGGAGTTGGCAGTTTGCTGGATGGTTTCCATCTTCACTGTGTAACTGTCATGTCACTGTTAGCTGCCTATTTTATTAACAGATGCTATATTGTTTTGGTGCAGACATGCTTTATTTAAAAAAAACACTGAAATTTATCAATGTTGTGTTATATTTTTTGGCACCACAACTTTGTTTTAGGTCTCTCTATGCTACTTTTGAAAAGGAGTTGGATGTCAAAGGGATACCAGCTTATCGCTTTGTGCCACCCAGTGAAGTCTTTGCCAATGATACCATCAACCCAGCCAATGTTGGTTTCTGTATTCCATCTGGTCACTGCCTGGGATCGGGCGTATTAAACGTCAGCGTATGTAGAAAAGGTAACCAACCTAAGTAGTTCAAATTGTAATTGTGGAGATTCCTGAAGATAACATTTTAAATCTATAGCAAATTGTGTCACTGGATCCATATTGTGCAACAGAAGGTCAAGTCTTTAAATAATTAACTACTGGCTGTAGTTTTTTTTTGTCATCAAAACTCTTTGTGCTTGCATCTAGTTTAACCGAATCTCATGTTATGTCTCTTAAAATACACAGATTAGCACTTCAATTTCTTCCTTGCCTACAGGTTATCAGTCTTTGCCTGTACAATACAAAATTACATTTGTATGACGCCTTGCACATTGGGAGGACAGTCAGTGATTTGGACTCGAGCAGGGGGTTGAGATCAGGGAGGGTTGAGGGTAGGAGGGTGGCCAAAGGCTCGGTCGAATGAGATGCGCCTTGAAGGAGGCAAGGGAGGGAGCAAGGTTAAGGGACTATGGGATGGCAGTCCAAAGGGTGGGGGCAGAGAGGCTGAAGGCCTGACCACTGACCACCGCAGACCGATGAGCGGACAGGTTGATATGGGGTTAGCAGATCACAGAGGTAAGAAGGGGCAAGCTGTGGAGGGCCTTTAAGTCAAGGACGAGGATTTTGAACTCTATCCTCTGGGGGATGGGGAGCCAGTGGAGTCAGGCGAGGGTGGGAGTGATGGGGTCACAGAATCTGGTGCTGGATGAGGACACAAGATGCAGAGTTCTGGATGATCTGCAGCCTATGGAGGGGGGAATTGGGGAGGCCAATGAGCAAGGAGTTTGGAGAGTCAAGCCTCAATGTAATGAATGCATATATGAGGGTTTCGGCAGCCTGCGGTGTGAGACAGTGGCGGAGCCGGGTGTTGTTGCAGAGGTAGGGGAATGCAGAGCAGGTCATGGCACGGATGTGGGGTAGAAAGGATAGTTGAGGGTCAAACAAGACGCCAAGGTTCTGGACTGGCTTAGTAAGGTGGAGTGTGCAACCAGGGATGATGAAGCTGTCAGTGCTGAGGTGAGGAGGCGCTGACGGGAGCCAATCAGGAGAACTTCGGTCTTGTTGACGTTCAGCTGTAGAAAATTCGCTCTCATCCAGGACTTGATGTCTGACAGACATTCTGTTAGGACAGCAGTGATCCTGGAGTCAAGGGTGGAGGCAGAGAGGTAGAGTTGGAGTCCTGTAGCTCAGTGGTTAGAGCACTCGCTTTGCAAGCGAGAGACCTGAGTTCAATTCCAGGCAGGGCGAAACCTTGGGCAAGTTTCCTTACTCCACACAGAGCCTAATAATAATCCCTCCAAAACCAAAAACAATAATAAATTGGTCATTTTCAGTCTACGACTGTTTGTGGGACATTGCTGTGCGCAATTGGCTGCCGCGTTCGCCCACAAATATACAGTCAATTCACTTTACAGTGTGTTCTGTGAAGCGCTTTGGGACGTCCTCCCGACGTGAAAAGCGCTATATCAAATGCAAGGATTATTATTATAGAGTTGAGTGTCATCAGCGTACATTTGGAAGTTGATCCCATATCTGTGGATGATGTCACTGAGAGGGAGCATGTACAGGTTGAAGAGGAGAGGATCAAGGACAGAGCCCTGAGGAATTCCGCATGAGACAGTGTGGTGGTTGGAGGAAAAGTCGTTTGTGGAAATAAAGTAGAGATGGTGTGGGAGGTAGGGTCTGAACTCATCAAGAACAGCACCATGAAGGTTGAGGTTAGAGAAGAGGTGATGGATGAGGATAGAGTGGTCAACCATGTAAAAGGCAGCAGAGGTCAAGGAGGACGAGTTCACAAATGAATAAAATATCATTTGTCACTTTGACCAAAGCTGTTTCTCTGTTGTGGGCAGGATGGAAACATGATTGTATGGGCTCATATAGGAAGTGGCAGGAGAGGAAGGAGTGAAGCTGGGAAGCAACGACTCGTTCCAGGACCTTGGAAAGGGAAGTTGGGGTGGTAATTGGAGAACGGGATAGGTCCAGGGAATGTTATTTGAGGATGGAAGTGATGATGGCTGTTTTTAAGGGAGTGGGAATGGTGCCAGTGAACAAGGAGAGGTTGATGATGTCTGTGAGTAGAGGAGCTGGGAGGTAAGGAGAGGGATCGAGGGAGCAGGTGGTGGGTTTCATATGGGTCATAATGGTGGTTTTTTTTCCTAATCTCTGTTCTGGACTTCCCAGTTCTGATTCTAAAATGCCCTGTAGGGGAACATGGGCAGATGTTGAGCAAGTGGCAAGCATATTTTGTTATAGATTCTACAAGTTCCCAAGGGTGATAGCCATCTGATTTCTACGTGCAGAAGATATGGGTAAAATACTACATCCAGATTTAAAAGCGTAATCCTGACTGACAACGCAGTACAGAACTGAGAGAGCCCACTGCATTGTTGGAGGTGTGTGTATATCTTTTTCGTATATAGAGAGGAGTTTCAGACCAACATTCTTCCAGATAAATTGGTCCTCCACCTCATGGTCGTTTTGTGGGACCTTGTGTGAGGAATCTGGCTTCTGTATTCGTCTGATAAAAGTTTCCTTACACTTGACTATAATAAACTGAACTGCTTTAAGATGTTTGATACATGGGACTGTATTCTTTCTATCTTGTATTGTCAGCAATAACCTGTTTTTATTTTGAATTTAATTTTCCTTGTCAAGAGCAAAGCCAGACTAACATTTATTTTTCAGTCCAAATCCTACCTCTTGTACATCTACCAATGGGAGGGGGGGGAGATACATTTTTATTCCTACATTGCAAGACAACCTTATTACCAGATAATCATTTATTTCTCTTCTATTACAACAGGTGCTCCTATTATCCTTTCTTCTCCACACTTTTACCAGGCAGATCAGAAATATATTGATGATATTGAGGGAATGGATCCAAACAAGGAGAATCATGAAACCTTTTTAGACATTAATCCTGTAAGTAAATTTTGAATGAGGACTTGGCCTCTCCTTTGTGTTAACTTCACAGAATGGGTTGTGAAAATATGATCCCAGAAATATTAAAAGATCTGTCACAGATGGTACGACTCAGAAACTGGTGTTCGGCCCATCTGTCCGCCTGGTGTTTATACTCCACACGAATGTCTCTCCTGGATCCAGTCCCATATCCCTTAACTTTGTTCTCTTGTTGGTTATCACCTGGGCCGGCCAATATAAAAGTGTGAAAATATTTGCCTCAAATTTGACACATTATGAGGAAAATTGCGAAGGGCTGATTGGTGCTGTTGAAAGCCGCATTTTGTAAAACAACCCGGATTCAAACAACAGGCATATTTTCTGAACATGTTGATATGTTTAAAATACTAAAAATGTCAAGGTGAATAGTACAGCATTTACCAAGAATTGGTCGCAGGAGCTCAGGTTAGGCTGGGCGCCGGACAAAGCCGATTTCCCACTCGCGCCGCTTCCGCGATCCCAACACTCCCGCGCGTGTGTGACTGGAGCCACTCAAGCCGCAGTGGCAGCGTCGAGCAAACAGCACGAGAGTCCCGGGCCAAGCACACTGTGTCTACGGGTTTGTAGCGGAGTGTGGGGTGTGGGGGGGGGGGGGTTGTAACACATTTGTAGAGGAAAGGGGCGTTTGTGGCAGATTCTGTGGAAGAAAGTACAGCCGCGCTCTCACCCCAACAACTGACTATGCAGAGAACTTCACCACTCTGAAAATCTCTGTTCTGGACCTCCCAGTTCCGATTCTAAAATGCCCACTGGTTCCAGACCTCCTGACAACTAGCAATCTTTCCCTATTCACCCTATTTAAGGTTTCCTCCACCATAATCCCATTCAGCACTCTGATCTCCAAAGAAAAGACCCAGTTCATCAAGTCATTCCCTAGTACTGCATTTTGTCATTCAAGACAATATGCTAGTGAATCTTCTCTGTATCTCCTCCAGCTCCTTTAACATCATTATAATGAGGAGCCCAAAACTACATGCAGTATTTTAACTGTGTCCTGACCGTTTTGTACAGATTCAACATGACCTTTATCTTGTTTTGTCTGACCCTCAACTATCCTTTCTACTCCACATCCGTGCCGTGACCCGCTCTGCCTTCCCTCACCTCCGCAACATCGCCCGGCTCTGCCATTGTTTCACACTGTCCGACTTCCTGCTTGTCGGCCTCCCCAAATCCTCCCTCCATAAGCTGCAGATCATCCAGAACTATGCAGCCCGTGTCCTCTCCCGCACTAGGCTCCGCGACCCTATCACCCCCATCCTCACCCAACTCCACTGGCTTCCCATCACACAGAGGATACAGTTCAAGATCATGGTCCTCACCTTCAAACCCCTCCTTAACCTTGACGACCCCCTACCTCTGCGACCTCCTAACCCTCTACCATCCTGCCCGTTCCCTCTGCTCAGCAGGCCTGCTTCACGTCCCCTTCCTCGCCCGCCTCACGTTTGGCGAGCAGGCCTTCAGACACTCTGTCCCCACTCTCTGGAACTCCATCCTGCAGTCCCTCCACCTCGCCCCCTCTCCCTTGCCTCCTTCAAGACCCATCTCAAGATCATCCTCTTCGAACATGCCTTCGATCACCCTCCTTATCCCCACACCCCGCCCCATCCTCCCCAATCCTGACCCCCAGCTCAGGTCTGAAACATTGATTGTCCAGTGCCTTCGGATGTCCTCCCAACATGAAGGGCGCTATATAAATGTAATTTTGTTGTTGTTATCCTTGTACTCTATTCTCTTATCTGTAAATCCCGAAGCCTCATTGGCTTTTTTGAAAGGGCTTATCCACCTGGGTTACTGCCGTCAGTGATCTCTGAATCTGTCATAATCTAATAAAATGGTGGAGCAGGTTTCAATGACCTACTCCAGTTCCTATGTTCCTCTACACATCGTTCCTCTGTTTTGACCATTTCTGGTACTCTAAATGAGATCAGGATGATGCCATGCAGCCCCTTTGTCGGTTGTTTGAATCCCCTTTCTGCATACCCTTTAATGTCCTTTCAAAGATTATCTCTCTTGTGAGGAGCGGAATTGCATGATGTAGGTTGTTGCATTTAAATTTAATGACTTATTTTTAATCAGTTAAATTTACTGACTATCTTGGCATTCCTTTGTTGATAACCAGTGTTGTACTCTATCCACTGGTAATTATTTGAATTGCAACAATGATTTTAACATTATTTTATGACCGAATGTGTATACTTAAAAACCCTTAGAATTACCCTTAGCATTTTCTTAAGATGTATTGTATTGCTGTGACATGATTCCTGGGAGGATTAATATTGTCTACATCCATTTGTGTATGTTTTTAATGAGGAGGATAATGATTTTCTGATGGTCACATTCTACCTTAATAGCTGAGAACATTTGCTAATATAGTAGGAGCAAACCTAAAATCTGTGTCGTGTATAGCTTTATTTTTCCTTTTAACTTTTTGGTTTTGCACACTGTGGCTGCATTTTCTTAATATTACAATTTTTCCTATTAAAATATAGTAACATTTGCTATTACTATAATATGGTAAACCTAACAAAACATTAACCTCAATACTAAAACTTTTTTTTAAAAAAACTTGTTAAACGATTTTTTTTCTTTTTGTTGCTTAGAAGCATATTTCATTCTGTTTATATTTTAGCTATTCTCGCATTTTTAAACACAACTTGTGCTTCTACTAACTTTGATTTGATGTGAAGCTCTGAAGTTTGTTACATTTCTTATTAAGACTTAAGTGAGGGTGTAAAGGAATATTTCAGGGAATATTCTTAATATTTGTAAGCCTATTATGACCTTAATCTTGTTATGAAATGCCTACTGAGTATTTGTTTAACAAGCAATGTCACAATATATTGAGAAGGCAGAAACTGCCATCTTGATAGTCTACTGAACAGCTTTGTGGAAATGTGTTAGATATCGTCTGCTGTATACTGTATTAAACAACTTGTACTCAGAGGGGTTATTGTAATACATCATTATTAAAAAAAATTCTCATTTTAGCTGCTTGTTAAACCCACGTCACTAGATGTCACTGTTGCAAAAGCGGTTCCTTTTTATTACTTTGGGCCTTTTCAAGTACAATTCTTTCTGATATTCTCAGTGTGATATGGACAATCATACTGCTGCTTATTTGTAAGAAATAAGGAGGATTTGTTGATACATTTGGCGAACTGCAAAGCCAGTAAACCTGAAACCATACTTTCAGGTATGTCAAGGCAGCAGGACACACAGGTCAGGTGATTGAAGCATATCATCTAAAGCGAGAAGGAGGTCAGAAGATTTTTTTTTACATCGAGGGTTGGTCCTGATGGTTAAAGCTGAGATTGTAACCACACTTAACAAGAAATTGGATAAATACTTAAGCACAATAACACTTGAAAGGGTATTACCATGTATCAAATTCTGTTTACATTTTTCAATCAACAGAAATATTCCACTGTGCTATCGTAACCTTTAGTGGCTTTAAAGTCCTCTATTGTGGCATTAAAGCTGATAGGCACATTTTGTTTCTCTGTTCCACTTACTTTCTACACCCCCATAATGCAAGGATTATTATTCTAAGAGAATTGGGTAGATTGAATCAGTTACTTCATCTGTGACCCTGAGCCCTGGTGGCTCAGTGTTGCCGGGATAGGTAAAGCAGGGGAAGAAGATGTATATTTGCAAAGCAGCAGAACAATAACCCAAAGAAAAATAATATAAAGTTCATATTATAATGAATTGTTTTGTTTCTCTCCCTCCCCCACCCCTTTCAGCTTACAGGGATCCTCCTGAAGGTAGCAAAGAGATTGCAGATCAATGTCTACATTGAAAAGATTGATGTGTTTCAGTAAGTGAGTTTGTAGAATGTGGAACTTCAGTGGTTGTTAATTGGAAAATACCGTTCTTCAGAGATAAATTGTTTGATATTTGGTGGTGCTTTTATATTTTCTTAAGTTGTGCTGTCAATTTTATGGAAGCAGAATATTGAAGATTTGCAGAAGATCACTATTTTATATTGTCTTTTAACTTAACCTAACACTAGTGACCGGGGAACCTGAGTCTATTGAACATGCATTGGTTTTGAAGTCCATTTGAGTTGTGGTGGGAGGATATTTTCATCAAATGTATGGCTCATGTTAACACATCTTTGGATCTCTCCTGTTGAAAAGTTAATTTGCCAGAGCTTTGGACATCTTAAGTCTTTGACAGGGTTTGGGACATCTGAATCAGCTGCATAAGGTTTTTAGCCTTGTATTGACTGAACTCAAAAGGTTTCTTGTCACTGAATGTTGCAGCACATGAACAAATTTGGCCTGTCAAGCCTGCGCTAGCGTCTTTCTCTATGTCAGCCACCTAGACTAATCTTGCTTTCTGTACCCTTTAATATGTTTAATTCTCCCATATTATTCCCTTGTAAAACTTATGGACTCGACAGTTTGCTGGAGAGAAATTTTACAAAATGTGTGAAGGATTTTTGTCTCTACATTTAGCTTCTTTTCTTTATTCATCTCAGCCATGAGAAAGGTGATGTCTGTTGTTCTTTCATAATGTTATGAATCTCGCCCATTAACTCAAATTATTAGATCTGAAAGTATTGGTCTAAAATCCATTCTTGCATTGTCAAGACCTTGCCTCTGGTGTTCGTGCTTATATAATGCATTTCTGAAATTGGTCTTGTATGTGCTTTGACTTAAGTTTTGACTGAGCTCTGGCATAGTGACATTTTAAACAAGTTGATACCTTATTTCAAACTATTGTCCTTTCATAATCATTATTTTCATTATTTTCACATTTCGTATGACTATCAGGATTGACTTTTCACCACTTTTTTTGCTTGAGTGTTTGTTTCCAGGACTTGGTTAACCCTCCTACTTCATTCCTTTGTTCACCAGGATTAGGTGGTGTGTATGGTGTGACCACCAATCCTTCCAATTATAACTATATAAATCTACAAGTGTTTTCACCTCACTGATTCACTGCAATGAGTAAATCTTTCTATTAGATAATGTAACCTATGAACTGTTCGACAGTACAGTCTCATGGCATTGTGCAAATTAAATTTGCCTTGCAATTTTAAAGTCCACTCCTGTTGGCAGGCCTGGCTAAAAGTGCACAATATACTGTATCAGTGATGCAATAAAGGCCATATTTCCAAATATAAATTCTTTCTTTTCAGTACAGTACTATTCTGCAAAAGTATTTTAAGAAAAAAACTAGTGTAAAGCTTTTCATTTTCATGTTAGGTTAGTGTTAATGAATAGAAAATATTGCAGAAGATCTTTTGTTGACTTAATACTGTACTAGAAAAACTTCATTTGCAGAATATTGCACTTTGTTTGTGAATGATCAAATTCTGCAATTTTCTAACTCTTGATCTAATCTCAGCATTTATCTAATTCATTAGTTCAAGCCAGAGTTTCAAAGTAGCTCATAGTTTAATAGCTGAATAATGAGAACCAGACTTCATCCACTTCATTGACTGCAGCATAAACTTTGGTCTCCAGTGTATCTGCAGAAGTTCAATGTTCGTTCTGTGCACTCTTGAACCTTAAAATTAAGCTGATTATTTATTATTACAAAAAGACATACCAGGGGACTAAAACATCCATACTTAAGGTCGTATCTAACACATGAAGCATACAGCATTATCAAGAATGGTAATGTTCAGTAACCCCTTCTGAAGAAAATATAAAACTCATTGAAGTCAATGTGAAGTATAAACAAGTATAAACAAGTTGGACAAAATTGTCTCATCAGTGCTGTAGATTCTATGTAAATTTTAAAAAAAAGTGCGAGGAAAAAGCAGTGAAGTAGAATTAAAAGATCCACCGTGATCAAATTGCTGACTGATGGACTTTAAAATTGCAAGGCAGATTTAATTTGCACAATGCCATGAGACTGTACTGTTGAACAGTTCATAGGTTACATTATCTAATAGAAAGATTTACTCCTTGCAGTGAATCAGTGAGGTGAAAACGCTTATAGATTTATATTGTTTCTCTCTCTAAGAAAATGTATAAAATAATGCGGCTTTGAAAGATATTGTGACACTATCAAAGGTAGGGTGGGTGCTGTTGCTAAGATGTTTACATGGGAACAGGAGGAGGCCATTCAGCTGATTGAATCTATTCAGTCAGCAACTTGATCACGGTGGATCTTTTAAGTCCACTTCATTGCTTTTCCTCGCACTTTTTAAATTTACATAGAATCTATAGTACTTGACCATGCAAATGTTTATACTTCACATAATGGAACCCCTCCCATTCCCTTCTCTACCAACAACAACTTGCATTTACATAGCACCTTTCACGTGGGATAGTGTTCCGGAGAGCTATCTTGTATGCCTTGCATTTCCTCTTAAGTGCATATATGCTTTCTGCTTCAATCAGAGTTTCTGGGTATGACTTCTACATTCTTGCCACTTTCTGTGTAGAGAATTACCTTCTAAATTCTCAGATTTGTTAGTGGCTTTTTTTTAACATTTCCCAAGTATTGACTTCTACAGTCTTTGGAGAAATACAATCCACAATTTTAAGAGCTTTTTTTTGTGAAGTTCTTCTGGTCTCACTGATAACCATCCTAGCTCTAGTTTTAAGATTCTCCTTGCTCTGGGTCCCGGTACTAGAGGGATGACAAGTGTATGACCATACGAGACCACTAATGAGCGATCAAGGCGACATTTCATTTTAGATGTATGAGATCTTGGCCCAGATTTTGAATAGTTTATTGAACAGTGGTAAATGTTAACTATTTTCACTCAACCAATGTGTTTTCTTTTGCCCTTGTATTCTTTTTATATCAGCGTAAAATGGCAAAATTCTCAAGGAATTCTCCCCTTCTTAAAATTCTGTCTGTTTAATTGGACGCACTCTTAATTTTAAAAAGGAGCAACTCATTTCCTGTGACTTGCATAGCTGAAAATGAAGCGAGTAACAATCTGTAATTTCTATAATTGACAAAATCCTTTCTATTTTCTGCAGTGAAACTGGAAATGTTCAGAGTCTTATCTTCCCTGTGATGTATCTCAACGAGGTAAGACTAACCAATTGTGTGCAATGAAGAAAAATTGGTTTTACATGTCCAGGGCCTTGTGAAGCTGTTATTTGATGTGGTCAAAATTGCTTACTTATATTGAGGAAGGCTGGCCTTTAATTTCTATTCTATTTGTATTCCAAACTACTATCAATGTAGTGTAAGCTCAAGCTCCAACATGGAGCTTGAACCAACAACCTTTGACAGAGGTGAAAATGTGACCAACTGAGCAAAGCAAGTACCAGACTAGACTCTGTATCCCTAAAGGTGATACATCAATGGTCTGGTCTACTGATTCTTCAAATAGACATTAAGATCCCATGATCTACTTGAAATGAAGGGAACTTATCCTGGTGTCCTGGCCAACAGTCCTGCAGATGACTTGGTTGGTTTGTGGGACCTGCTGTGTATAAAATTGCTGCAGTAGTTCTCGACAATAAATTACCACAGCACATCTTAATAGTAAAAGCTATGAGAAGGTTTGATGCAACAAAGTGCTATTAAAATTTGCGATTGTTCCACTGGACCCAAAATGTTTAACATCAATGTGCTGAAGGAATGTTTTTATGGCCCCAAAATTTTAGTTCTTGGATGTTTTGGTCTTAATTTTTATTGGCAGTAGCTTTTGATAGAGATGACAACCAACAACAAAAGTTTGGTTCTACTTGTCACTACAATTTGTAGCTGTAATCCATCATCTAAAACTAGTCCTACTGGAAGTCATTCCATGTTCCCTGTCAGGAAAAACTGATATTCACAGACTATTACAGCCCAGACATAGGTTAATATGTCTGAGCTGGTGTTTTTCTCCACATGAGCCACCTATTCAAATAATATCTCTTCTGCCTTCTCCCCATACCCTTTATTTTCACAAACCTCTATTTGCTTTGTTTAATAAAAATAATCTAATAATCCTTACATTTTGGTATAGCTCTTTTCATGTCAGGAGGATGTCTCAAAGTGCTTCACAGGATTTACTATAAATTGCAGTGGCTGTTTTGTGGGCAAACCCAGCAGCCAATATACACTCAGCAGTGTCCCACAAAACAGTCATGGAATGAGTGACTGATCTTATTTGGCTAGGACACCAAGAGAAACTCCCTTCTCTTTTTGAGTAGTGCCACAGGATCTTTAACATCCAGGCAGACAAGGCTGTGTTTTAACATCTGAAGGACCTCTAACAATGCAGCATACCACCAGCACAGTGTTGGAGTGTCATCTTGGACTGTACGAGTTCCAAAACCCGACGAAGGTCTTGAACCCATAAACCTCTGACTCGAGGCGAAAGTGCTATCAACTGAGCCAGGCTGACACATAAACTCTGCTGCAGCAATAACTGCTGCCCAAAAATTCCATTTTCTCCTCTGTCTGAAGAAATGTTTTCTGAGCTTCCTTTTAATTCCTTTGGTAATTTATCTTCAATTTGTGACCTTTCATTACTAACTTGCTGACTAGAGAAAACAATCTATTAATATTTATCCCATCAAAACCCTTTGTAATCTTGAAGACTTTTTTTTTAAACCTTCTTAGCTGCATCATTTGGAGACGTAAATAGGCAAGTGATGTGACAAATCAAAGCTTTCAACATTTGAATAAATTACTTTATATAAAAAACGATTGACTACAAGTTTGCCAATTTCCGAAATAGTTACAAGTGGTTTTGTTTTATTCCATTCATTTTAATCTGCTGCAGTTTCTAAATCGGCCTCTGCTATTGAAAATGAATCCCTCCAGCAAAAAACTGCTTTCAAATATGAAAACCATCAAATGATTTGTTTCTGTTTTCATTCTCAGAAAAGTGAACTTGGTTTAGCCAATCTCTGATGTATCACCATGATGTCTTGCTCAGTGTTTTTGTTTTATTCTTGCAGAGCGTTTTGATTGATGATTCTTCGGCTTCTAAGTTAAGCAAGGTGCTGTTAGAGACACAAGTGGCAACTGTGATCCCATTCATGATAATGGGCCTGGGGATTCTCCTTGGTTTTATCTTCATCATACTTGTATGCACTAATCGCACTGTGGAAAAACCAGCTGGGGTTGAGGTTGGTATTTTATTGCAACCTACTTCCTGAAGTTGTTTTTATATTTTTTTTATTGCCTGTCTGAGGTGTCCTGCTGAATTATATTTTCCTTTCATGAAAGCTAACTACTTACTTATCTTGTGTTTTTTTTTCTTTCTTTTTGATTTGCTCAATCAGTGTTTTCTGTTGGCATGAGAGGGAAGACTTGTAAGTTCAGTTGGTTCCCACCTGCCAACGTGCAGAAGTATGAGATGGATAATGTGAATTATTAATACGCAGTCAAATTACCTTTTAATCAACACAGCTACCTCTGTGAATAAACCACAATATTGGAGTGAGCCTAGATAAATAAGTGGGATCAATGGGTTCCATCACTCTAAAAGGGATGTAAGTACACAAGAACAATCCTGAATCGTTCTTCCTCTGGTTCAAGTCTGTTGTGGGTCATGTCCAGAGGGGTCCCTCTGGGCTTGTGCCAGTTTTGGACACGTCTACAACATGAGGTTATCCTTGCCATCTGGATGGAGCATTATGCAAACTGGTTCCTTGCTACTGATGTGGAAGCAGATGCAGACAGCATTAACGCTAAGTTCTTAAAAGCTGGAGTGGAGAGGGGGAACAGTGAGGATCTCACTGATCCAAGCCAGGAATCTCCAACTCACATTGTGAACCATGCCAACTCGCCTCCTATTGCTGGTCAACAGGACTCTGAGGAAAGCACTATGTCAGTGTTCCTGAGTGCAATTGCGTTTTCTAGCCGCAAGAAGGGGGACCTTAATGAAATGGAACTACGGAGAGATCTCGCTGATTTCAGTGGCTCTTCAAGTGGTGTTTTGGGTGGACACTGCACATTTATCGTATGATTTGGAGGCTCTTGATTTGATTAGGAAGGCTGGCTTCTATTCTCTTGACTATGCAAATGCCCTGCTTGTCGGCCTTCCCAACTCCTCCCTCCACAGGCTGCAGAACTCTGCAGTCCGTTTCCTCTCCCACACCAAACTCTGCGACCTCATCTCCCCCATTCTCACCCGACTCCATTGGCTCCCTATCCTTCAGGGGATCCATTTCAAGATCTTGGTTCTCACCTACAAATCCTTCCATGGTCTCGCTCCACCCTACCTCTGCGACCTCCTAACCTCCTACCACCCCGCCCGTTCCCTCCGTTCAGCCGGCTCCGGCCTGCTCCATGTCCCTCGACCGACCATTGGCGGGAGAGCTTTCAACCACTCTGCCCCCAACCTCTGGAATTCCATTCCCCAATCACTCAGCCTCAGCACCTCCTTAGCCTCCTTCAAGTCCCACCTCAAAACCCTCCTCTTCGACCATGCCATCGGTCACCTCCCCTTCCCCTCCCTGACCCCAGCTTGGGTCTGAAATGCTGTACACTGCCCAGCACCTTGGGATGTCCTCCGGATGTAAAAGGTACTATACAAATGTAATCTTGTTGTTGAGGAATGTGTGGGACCGGTAGGGGCTTAGTGTGAGATCCCAGTACGTTGCAAGGCTTACTTGCCTTGCATTCATCATTTCAACCTAGTGCTTATAATGAAACTGGAAGAGCATGGCCAAATCTAGGATTTTATCCAGAATGGGTATTCCAGTTCCAAGATCCATGTAAGGATTGACCTGAGCCCATCCCACTTGAAAGAGGTAAAGCAAGGCTGCCCATTGTCACCCATCCTATTCAATATATTCAATAATAGGTGTTGGGTGGCATTGGGTAGGTGGGCTTAGTGTATCTGTCCAAGCATTTCTGACAGAATTATGGTGCCTCTGTCGACAGACTCACCTGGGTAAATTTTGTGCTGCACTCACCATCTTGAACACTAGTGGGACATGATGGTGGGACATGATGGTGGCTCAAGAGAAAGCATTGAGGATATTGATTGGAAGATAAAGGGGGCATCAGGCTCTATTGTCAATTCTTATCGTTCATTATGGTGGACACAAATCAGCCTGAATGATCGCACAGAGAAAGGACAAACTCTAATTGCGTTTGTCTCTTGATGCATAGAAAGTCCCGATGCAGGTCAACCTTGTGGTATATGACCTGTGTGCAAACAGTCATTTATGAATCTGAGCTCCTGGGGATGCAGCAGAGAGGCTTCCTCTGACCCAAGTCCTGGATCAAGCAGGTAGATTTGTGGCAAACACGTAAGTGGCTGCAGGGAGAGAAAGCTCCGGCCTACACTGACCTGTCGATAAGCACCCTACAGGCGGAGTTGGCTTCACACTCTTTGCCAAGGCCCCTTACGCGAGAACCTGGATTAAGCAGCTAAAGCTGAGGAAGCCTGGTACACGGCATATGACTTGAACCTCAAACATCGAGGTGGCTTGTACTTTACAAGTCCTCCCATCAGATCTGTCAGATAGCCATGAGGAAACTGAGACTTGGGGCACAGCTGCTGGAAGGCATTGCCTTAGTCCCAGTTTGTTTACATGTGTTCATACATCCAGTGCTTGGAATCAACCTTAATTGGTTTGCTGCTGCTCAAGCTCAGCCAACTGGTGGAACCATTACACTCATTGAGAAGGGATGCATATCTGAGCTGTGAACAGAAAGGTGGTGGCAATGGCAATTTCATGCTGAGCTGTATTATTCACCAGGAAGATTACAGGGAGTTTGTATTGAGGGCTCAAACCTGAACTTGTCAGATGTCAAATGACTAATTAGTGACTAAGCTCCTTAGGGATAGGTAAGTGGGTTCTTCTTGGAGCTGAACTGGCTGTTTGTGTATGAAATGTCAGAATCGAGCCAATTCTCTATGGTGGTCTCAATAGTCCAGGCAGGCCCACAGTACTCCAGGGTGCAGCTTATGATAGCTCAGCCAATCTAGCTCACTGGCAGGACTTGGGAAAGCAGACCAGTCACTGGGGGCAAGGAATCTTCCCACTCAGCTCCTGTTAATCCTGCAAGTAATGCCCATTAGGTAAACAGGATGCATCCCTCAAGAGAGAGAGTGGGCATTCCAATCCTACAAATTTCTCAGGAATTTCCACGTATATGTGCAATACATGGAACTCTGTTTAAACTCCCAGCTAATAAAGAAAAAACATTTTAATGCTGGAACTAGATATTTTCTTGAAGGAGGAAACCCTCTGTGCCATGCAGTTTTCCTTATTTTCGACTAACATAGAAATGATTGTAAGTCGCTGACTTTTTGTCATCTGATCATTTTCAGCACAGTATTTGAAGTATGGGTCTTCTTAGTGGTATCAGTTGTTGACTGGTCCACATGCAATATAATTTTAATGTTAATCATAATGATGATAATAATAATACTTGAATTTGATATGTTCTTGGCTTTTTGTAAAATTAAGATTAAATAGTAAATGAGAGGAAAACATTTCATCAAGTGAAAACATAAATATCAAGTGGTGTAAAGTTGAGCCGACCATAAAGGTCCAAGCTTTATTCACTGACCTTTGTGGTTAACTGAAATGACAGTGTAGGACTCTACAGATAGCTTTGTCTCAGATGAGCTGCAATCAGTCAGGATTCCTGACTGCTGTCTAGTTGCAAGTCCATATAACATCAAAGGTGGGTGAGGCCCTGGTTGGGTTTGTCTCTGATTGTGTAAATGGATTTGCCCTTCTTAAGCATGAAATATGACTACATGAAAATTGACTCAAGGAAAGATGCCATGGAGGAATTCATTGGGAGGGAGGCGAAAATAAAACAATGCCGTCTGAATAAATAAAATACATTTTATATAGTTCTGAGACATGCCATTAACCATTCTGCCATTTTGTTGTACGAAAATGAAATAAACTTTTTTTTCATAAACCAACTGGTATCCAGAGAACAATCCCCTTCTTTAAAAATGTAAACCTAATAAAACTAAATCTTATGAATGTGTTTATTTCAGGCTTACGATTTCCTAACTTCTAAAAAATGTTTGGGACAGTCAATTGACAAAATGATTATAAAACTGTGACTGAATATAGTTATTAGTTATTTTATTACCTAGAAACATGATCTTAATATCTGCAAATCCCAATGGTTGACGGCGACTGTGACAAGTAATGAATAACTTTCAATTTCTGGAATGAGCAGAATCAGAAGATTGAGAGTGTGAAGATAAATCTATATACATATATATTTTATTACTATCTAGCCTAGCTGCTCTAAAATGGCCTTCCACTTCCTCCTTCCTCTCTTAACCTTGGAGCAAAAGCACCCCACAGTTAACTAAGAATGGCTAAAGTTGGAACATTAATAACCTATGATAGCTCAGTTGAGAGAGCATTAGAGTGTAGATGTAAAGATTGCATTTCAAACGCAGTTTGCAGTCATTTTTTCACTGATTCTGTTTTGAAGAGAAAAATTAGAAAATCGAGCAAGAACAGGGATTAGAATAGTTAGCACCTGGGTACCATACTTTCAATCATCTTCCTTTCGCCTGCTCCACCTCCAGCATTGTTGGATGTTCATTATCTGAAACAATTTCTTGTTGTTGGGCTTTGGTACATCCACCCAACATGCAATATACTACAAATATATTGTATTTCCAGAGCAATAGCATGGAAATACAATTCCACTGTGACTCCTGGACTAGTCCACTTTTACTTACTAATTTTTCTTTACCCCTCACCCATTTTTTCCCATCCCCCCACCAACAACAACATGCTATTTGGTTTGAGGAAGTGACATTTTTGAGTTTCAAAAACAGTTTCAAACCATACTGATCATTAGGATTTTTTTTTTGTAACGTGCTCTTTCTGTGTTGGTAGGTTCAAAGTATTTAAAGATAAATAACTAGAAGTTGCTCTCCTCTGACCAGAATTTTTTTTTAAAAAAATCCTCTTGAGTGATCACAAAAAACCCATCAACAGTAGCAACCTACCTTTCACTCCTGCAAATCTGTCTCTATGGGTTCAATGCTCTTGTAGGAAAATGACCAGAAAATCATGATCTTTGACATGGTTTCAGCACCCAGAATGTTGACAAAATGTTCATCAATATGAGTCGTCTGCTTCCTATTCAATCCTATTTAAGTAGCTTATTTGAGTTCAGCAAAGATTGTAGTGCAGCAAGTACTGACCTTAATGCAAATCGTACAATTCCTCAGCGATCAACAAAAGCTTGAGGAATTTGCTTGTTTTTCCAGAATGTTTGACATTTTGTGTAGAAAGGAAACTGATCATTTGGATTTTTTATATCATTATTCATTTGGAGATGTTGCCTTGTATCATCTCTTTCACAAATCTACTGGTCTGATGAAAAGGACTTCAGCCTAAAATTGTCAACGTTTCCTCATCGGAGCTTAAGTCCAAGCTTAAGTAATACAGAATCTCTTTCCTTGTTCTTCCTTCTCTTTCTTGCCCCCCCCCCCCCCCCCACGATATTGTTTTGTTGGGGAGGAAATGGGAATTAAAAATAGAATCTTAGTTTAGTGGGTAATGGTGTGACCTAATAGCTAAAACGACTTGCATGTGATGGTGGATTTGCAACTGGACATTTTTTTGCTTCCCATACTGCACCGCTTCACCTTGATTTTAGTCCAAAGTCAGACTATTAGGTTTGTGGACAGCACTATGCAAACATTGATTGCGACGCAATGATCTCTTTTAACCAAAGTCTATACTGCTTTAATAGTGCAGCCAAACAAAATAACTTTTTGCATTGTCAGTTTGGAAATCTGTCTAACTTAGGCTGAACATTGATCTCTCAAGAGTTCAGCAAATATGTACTGAATTCGTACAATATCATAGTTCGATTGTGAGATGTTACTTGACATTGTTTTAACTTGTCTACCTTTATCTTGCTTTACGATATGTTCTCTTTTTAAACATATTAACACATTTATCTTTCATGCCTGAAAGGCTTTAAATGTTAATTCACCATCTTCTTGCCCAATGTTCATTTTTGAATAATAATCCTTGCATCTGTTCTAGCTGTTTTCACATCAGGAGGACATCCCAAAGCACTTTGCAGCATTTATTATGAAGTAGAGTGACTGTATTTGTGGGCAAGCATAGCAACTAATTTGCACACAGTGATGTACCACAAATGACCATGTTGAGGATTTAAACACTATAAAATTATAAAAATCCTATATGTGGAGGATTTTTAAAAATTCTTTTTGTTTGTCTTAAAGATCCATATATCTTGTGTCACTTTGTCCAATACCATTTTTAGTTCAATATAATTTAACCCAAATCAAGTTGACCACAATTTACACTGCCTTAGTATAGACAAAAGAACATTGGAACAAGAAATTCCAGTTGTAAGACTTGGTTGTCTATTGGACTTTAAAAAGTATGAATGAATGTTTGGTTTAACTTTGTTATCCATATTGTCATTCGCCTATTTCGGGTGTCTACAAATCATTCTTGGTCTGTTAGATATTGAGTCATATCAACTGCTTAAAGGACCATTTTTTTTCTGGGGAGGGTAATAGGTGTATGTAAATATAGTGTATATAGTAACCAATTGTAATTTTGTTTTTAAACAGCCAACAGTGACAGAACGGACCCCTCTACTGAATCCATCTTGAATCTACTTATCAGCTTCTCTACTACCCTGATTGAGAACAGCTATGCAAATAATACTGGTTTTAATATGTCTTGCAAGATTTGTTCGGCACAATCTATTCACTAACATTGGTAATATTGTTGTGTACATCACCTAGGAATCAATAATACCTCCCAAAGTTGAGTAGATCTAGTACTCCCAATTTCTGGTTGCAGGATATGTAATATTTGCAATGTCTGTGGGGACAGAATACATTTTCTAGAGAGGCTTGGCTAATATTGACCATAAATAAGTTTAGTTATCCTAGTGGGCATTAGCAAACCTGTGCATGGCTCTCCGTGTGAACTTATACATCTTTTAATTTATTGCAATTAAAGATGCACAACTGAATAGTGAGGTGCAAATTCAATTCTGACAGTACAGAAGGTTGGGTAGTTGTATATGTCTTCTCACTTTTATAAGTGTGACATCCTCCCCAATATTTATGTTCCCTTGCTCTAAAATTTGTGGAAATGTGTAGGTTTACATAGAACTATCAAGCAATGTAATTTAGCAGAAGGAAACTGAGCTACTTAATTACCAGTTATGCAACCCATCCAATCTTTCTCCCGCATGTACATGCAAATGGAAAACCAATTTTGTGTATACATTTTGGGAGAAAGAGGAATGTGGTTGAAATTTGGATGAAGCACCCCAATATAATAGACCACCCCACTCTGGGCATTACTCAGATTGGCACAGAAGCTAATCGGGCCTATTCTATCGTACACTAAATTTTTATGACTTGATTCCAGCCTTATTTAGCTGCGCTTTTTTAATTGGCATTGTTATAAATTTAATATTTTAAAAACTGCCCAAACCACAAAAGTAAGGTACTAGTTTGGATCTACACACTCGCTGTATGTTAAGTGGATGCAGAAATTGAACTAATTGGCAAGTTAGTATCTAAATTCACTTTTGTGGGGGCAGCCCCCGATAGTGTAGTGGATACAGTTGCAGTTTTTGGAATTTGCTCGTTCAAATTCCAATCTTTGCTGTTTACTTGTCTCAACCAGGTTTACATGGGAAGGCTAGATTGCTCCTGGCCTTCCCAGGGTTAGGGAAGGGGAAAAACATGCCATGGCTCCTGGTCCTCTGTTACTGTATTTGTGTGTGTGTGTGCAACGCAGCCAGGTATGGTTCAGAGCGGTCGGTCAAGCTTAGCCGTGATGCCCTATACAAGTCAGCGGCCTGCTAACAATCAAGGCTAAGGCTCACCCATGAATTGGGCAGGCAATAGAGCAACAGGCGTCTATGGAATAGCACTCCAGCAAGAGGGCAGACCAGGAGCAGTGAGGTAGGTGCATGCTATAAAGGAATGTTACCTTTATTTTAAAAAACATAATTTAGAACAATTGCACTGAAAACGATGGCAGAATTCTGCCCATACGTAGTAGCACATCAGCACCTTGCACTTGCAGAAAAGGGAAAATTGGGGGTGGTATCTTATTGTATATTATATCATTACTCAACCAATACCAGTACACACCCATCATATGTGTGCTTTAAACTTTGCACTTAAAACCTGTTGAATCCCAGCACTTGTACTTTAGCTCCATATATCATCGTTTCAAATCCTGTTTTAAGGTCAAAGATGTGGAATTGAACGCAGTACCATCCAAAATACGACCACGTTTTCGGACCCCAGCCTCATTGGGAACTTTTACTTTCCTTTGCCTTGTATGCAGTGTTGTTCATAAATGGTAATGGGAAGTGCACTCATGTACAGTAAGAAAAGTTGTTTAATGAGTTTTATAAAAAAAATTTAAATGTTTGTAGTGCGGGAAATGAACTTCAGTATGAAATTGCTGCAGTAGTTTGTTACCAAAAAATGTTTGTGTCCCAACTTCAATATTCCTACAAAATACTAATAAAACATACTTAAAATCTAATAAGCTCTTTGTGCATTTAATTATATAAAACATATTGTACAAATAAATAAATGCATACAAATTTACAGATTGAGATCATGAACAGGATAATTCCATATTCTGCAGCACTAAATATTCTGCTTACAGTAGCCTCACTGATCATTTTGTATTGCTGTTTCTTTCCCATTCTTGGAAAGGAATTACTTCACGTTGCAAATTGACTTCATTTCCTTTGCTTTGAAAAATACTTTTGAAGATTGGTTTATGGATCTTCGTTTTTACTCTGAAAACGTTTGTAAAGAACATTGTGCTGTCCTGCAAGAAAATAAATGCTGTTAATTTTGCGGATTCCTGATTCAGAACAAACTGGTTCACATGGCTTTGTGTCTCATGAATGAATCCTAGTAATTTTGAAACTGGAACATTTAGCTTGTGAGTGGCCAAAGAAGCGATGAATATTTTAGAATTGATTTCCATATTAACAATTGGTCAATGGTGATTTTTATAGCACTATGTTTCATGTTGGGAGGACATTTTGAGGAGTTTCACAAAGCTGAGACGGTTATCAATAATTGAGTGAAATCCATTTGTATATTTTAAAATTCACTTTTATAGTTATATTATATTCTTCTCCTTAATCTTCCAAAAACATTGGGGGCATGCGGGTGAGGACTTGAAAGACGTTCCTATCGTAATGTTTTGTTCATCAACGCAATGGTTAAGTCAACAAAATTAATGTTTACCATTTTAAAAGTTTCATATTAAATTCATCAAGATATTTATATACGTACGTATCCTGAATGGCGCAGTAATTGGTGATGCATTCAGAGTTGTCTCTACAGGTTGCACCAACAGGCCTCTGAGTGATCCAACGCCAAAGCATCGATCTCCTAATTCGTTGAACTAATTGTTCCCTCTGAACATTGGGTCCAGTAGCTGACTGAACCTAGGAACGATTACAAAAAATAAAATAAAAATCATAGCATTTGTACAGTGAAACAGACAGATTATCCAGTTACACATGAAAAAGCTTATCTGAAATTATGTGACTAATCTAGATATCAGGTTCTAGTAACACATCAAATCATGAACACCTAGTTAATTTAACGTCTGATTTTTATTTTAAATTCTAAAAAGTGTTTGCTAATGAACAAATTGACTTGTTTGGTACAGACTATATTTTATTGACTACATAGACTATATTTTATTGATTAAATCTAGTTAGTGTTGCAGATTTTATCAATGGAGCCAATTAAAACCAGCAGCCAGGGAATGTGGATAGAACCCACTTGTTTTCTTACTTGGCTTAAGAGTTTTATGGTTGTTACATTTCACGTAGTTCATTTTTTGTGAGGAATTGAATGTAAAATTTTAAAGTTTTACACTCAACGCCTTGCAAAAAAGAAATACAAGTCAATCTTACTCTCAGCTAAGCCATCCCCTTTTCACTATTTACAGAACAGTGAATTATTAAATAAATATCTTATTAATTAAACTGGAACCTTTCTGCTGAATTAGGATGTGTTAACGGGTGGAATCGTGGAACAAGAGAGAAGAAAAATCAACTAAAATTTCCATAATGTTTCTGTTTATTTCTGGAAATTGTTTTTGCCATACAAAGTCATTTCTCCCACAAATATACAGTCAATTCACTTTACAGTATATTCTGTGAAGCTCTTTGAGATGTCTAGAAGACATGAAAAGCATTATATCAAATGCAAGGATTATTATTATATTAAATTGAATAATAGACCCCTTAACTAACTATTAATTAAGGTGCAAAACCTCTGGAAGACTGGTTAAACATTTTAAACCAGATTACCAGTCACAGTTAAAATTATAAATAGGTTCTCAACTTTCTTCAAGGCAATGCCATGCAATCAATGTTTCTCATGCATTTGTGCTAATATATGGGACATAATATTCAACATGGACATTTCATTACAGTGGTCAGAGGGTTTTTGTATTTATTATTGCATGGCACAAAGTGAAGAGGATAATAAATTAATGTAAGTTACTCAGCAGTTCTATATAAAATAACATGATCACAAGAAATGTAAGGATTAAAACAATCATTTTTTTCTCAGCCTTCTTGAATAGCCACCCGACTCTGCCCCTTATGGCATCAAGCTGTTAAATGAGGCCAGCCTCCTGGCCTTCACAATCTTTTCTGTTAACTCCTTCCAGCTATTAATTACTTTGTGAAAAGAAATGCTTCCTTGTGTCTCTCCTAAACCTTGATCTCATGATCTCTTGCCCTGCTACCTTGATGTATCTGAAGGACTTCTTGTTGTCCTCCCTCCTATTTATCTTTAAATCTCACTTAAAACTTACTTTTTCAACCTTCTCTATGGTCCACTCCTCATTCCCCCTTCTCTCTTGCTCTGTGTCCAACCCTAGCGTTGTAAAGTGCTCTGAGTTATGCTATGTTGAAAATACTATATAAATATATGTTGTTTTGTTCAGGGTTTTCTTTGTCTATTCCATTAAACTTTGTCCGACTCTATAAGGTCCAGTGAATTTATTGTTTTGTTCAGCTGGATGTCTGATGTGTGCAGAAATCTATCGCCATGCTTGAGTATCTAAACCAAACTTCTTGCATCCCACCTATACATCGAAATGCCAGAGATATTTATTGGTATGGAATGTGCATTCTCTCCCTGGAAAGAATGTACTGCTTTCCTAATTCCAGAAAGTATTAGGCTAAAGGTTAGGAAGAGCCAAGAGTGTGCGTTGAGCTACTGTTGGAGTCTGACCAGCTGAAACCGCTTAGCTTACCATGGAGAGCACTGTCTTGCAAGCTTTCCTGCTGTTTGTCCAGCTGGGATTCCTACTTATTAAAGCTTTTGCTTACAGGGTTAGCAGGAGCAGAGTGGGAAGAGTCTCTGCCCCCAGTGACTGGTCTGCCTTTCCAAGTCCTGTCAATGAAGCAAACAGGCTCCTGGAATACTGCGGACCCAGCTGGCTCAGGAACTGGATTACCAGTTCAGCTCCAAAGAGACTCCGCTTACCTCTTACACCCCTCCAAATTTTATAGTACAGCAAATATTTTTGCCTTGGCAATTATTGAGGAAAGTAGTCAATACAAATGACAGCAGTTATAATACTATACAGTTTATTGTACTGCCCCCTCCAAAAAAAACACTGTTGCACTCCTACCTATTAAACGTTCCCAAGGAAACATTTTGCTTTAAAATTCTTCATCTTTGCAAACTCGCAAGAGGGTGATATAAATTGTGGCATCATTTGCAATAATTGAAAATAATTTAAACTTGTCAAAAAGAAAGATCTGGCTCTTCCCCCTTCCCCAAACAGAAAGTTTTCTCAATTTTCCATTCACTCCCTGGTACCTCTCTACCTCTTCGACCTCCTCTCCCCAATCCACCACCTGGCACTTCCGCTCGACTGGCACCGGCATCCTGCTCATCCCTTCCACCCTCCACTCCACCATTGGAGGTCGTGCTTTCAGCCACTATTCCCTGAAATTCTGGAACACTCACCCTCAATCCCTCCACCTTGCCCTCTCTCCCCTTTTTCAATCCCACCTGAAAACCTTCCTTTTTGCCCCCCCCCCCCCCACCCCACTTGGCTCGTAGTCAGGCTCCGCCACTGTTAAGCGTCGAAGGCACTATTTAAGTGCAAGTTGTTGTTGTTTGTTGAAAACCCTGTCTCTTTAAATGTTTCACTCTGCCCCCTAATCCAAGGCCTTTATAACTTCTATAATTCTTTCTTTGTATCTGAAAAACTGAAAATTACATTCGTATTCTGCAATCTCCCTCTCTGGCTATCAATAAACCTGTACGTGCTAAACAACAATTGTCCTCTTACATATGAGTGTGTACATGAACCGTTCACATAATAATTCACATGACAACTGAACTGTGTTGTCCCTAAGTTTAGACACTTAGTTTAGGAATAACCTGTAATGGTAACATTAATTGTACCTCAGGTCAACAAGAAGCCAACACGTTTCAATGTATCCCTCTGCAAAACTACTACTAATAATAATCCTTGCATTTGATACAGCGCCTTATCTTTGAGAGGTCTCAAAGGACTTCACAGAATATATTGTAAATCTATTGTAAAGTGGATTGACTGTAAGATATGGCAAAGCACTTTTCCTTTCTTTAAAGAGCATAGAGAACGGCTAAGGCACTGATGGCTGTCAGAAACTGCTTACCGTGATGCTGCAGAGGAGGCAGAGGATACAGGAGACTGCAAGCGCTCTGCTCAGGTGGGATCTCATGGTAACAAGTCCTCAGGAGTTGTCTGCCTCGCACACATTCTGGGCTGAAGTTTTGCACTATTTATCAGATGTACCAGCCTCCCCGCCTGCTCGGCTTCAAGGGAGGAGCTCAGTGAACTGCAGAGTTTAGCACTATCTGTACAAAGGGCAATCGGTAGGTAGATCAGACAGGCTGAGTGTTATGCTGAGTGAGGATCATTGCTTTTATAATTGGAAGTGAAATGTCAGCGCCGTGTTGGTGTAAATGTAATGATTGTGAAATCGATGTATCGCTGTTGCACCTTAGGGATATAACCTGATCACTGGTCTCCCTTTCCCCTCGTTCAGTGTGTGCTTCCATTGCCTGAAAGAGGATGGCATTGCTTTGGGAGTCTTTGCTTGTTGCAGCCCAGGGCTGGCTTGCTGTGAGCTGCTGTCCAGGAGCCGAGATTCCAAACTAACTACATAATGTTTCTCTCTTCCCCTTTAGCAGTAGCACGTTTGCAGGGTTAGTTCAGTGCGAGGAATTTAACTCAGTCCTCCCAGCATTGGAATTCGTCTCAATGTAATAATAATTTGTTCAAAAAATAATAATAATAATAATAAATTGGTCACTTCAATCGACAACTGTTTGTGGGACACTGCTGTGCGCAATTGGCTGCCACGCTCATAAAATGTAGTCAGTTCACTTTACAGTCTATTTTGTGAAGTGCTTTGAGACGTCTCAAAGACGTGATAAGGCTCTATATCAAATGCAAGGATTATTATTACTATATTTGGTATAGCGCCTTATCATTTCAAAGCACTGAATATATTGTATTATACTGAATATATATGTGGAGGTTTTTTTTTGCCCCAAATTAAGTAACAATTGGTTACAATCTGAAATATTTACTTCATTAGTGTGCCAGCTTCGGGTTCTGTGTAATTCTTTTTAAGATAGTCATCCAATGTGTCTTGGCCCAATGGTGTTCAGGGTGATAAATCTTAAACCTATTTCAAGGTATTACTGTATACCTCTGTGGTGCCTGACTGACAACAATCTTTGAAGCACTTCCCAACGTGAAAAGCACTATAATAAATGAAAATTAGTATTGTAATCTCACTGATTAATTGGTCAGTCTGTATGGCTGCTTGTAGGGACCTTGCTGGCACAAGCAGCTACCACACCATGATAAGGTGCTATATACAATAGTTACAACTGGAAAATTCATTAATAACATTTTCTATATCCTAACTTGAAAGTTCCCAAAAGGTTAATAAAAGTTTCTCCTGCAAAAAATTCACAATGAATCCTGTGAAGCTCTTTGAGACATCCTCCTGATTTGAAAGGCACTATATAAAATGCGAGGATAATTATTATAAACTTGATAAGTTGAAATATTTTAAATTGCATCCAAACTATATACTTAAAGGTTAAACTCATTGCTTCTTTCTACATTACATTTTCTTCATAAATGTAGGGGTGCACATCGTTATGATGTCCATAATGTCTTTTGTGGTGTCCTGTAGCTCAGTGGTTAGAGCACTCGCCTTGCAAGCGAGAGACTTGGGTTCGATTCCCGGCAAGGCGAGACCTTGGGCAACTTTCCTTACATCACACACCTGATAATAATCCCTCAAAAAAATAATAAAATTGGTAATTTCAATTCACGACTGTTTGTGGGACACTGCTGTGCGCAATTGGCTGCCGCGTTTCGCCCACAAATATACAATCATTTCTCTTTACAGTATATTCTGTGAAGCGCCTTGAGACTCTAGAAGACGTGAAAAGCGCTATATCAAATGCAAGGATTATTATTATCATTTTGGTAGGTAGAGGTGCAAAATTATGAATCTAGTTCTTGCAGGTTAGATAGTGTGCTTGCACCCACTCACCTTTCTATTTTAACTCATCAAACAAACAAATGAAAGACTAAGTCTCATCTATTGATGTCTTTTTTTTCGTGAACACAGTGTACCAGGAAATGTTCGCTTTGTTTCTCAGAATTGTTTAGATTCCTCGTGGTAGTCGGATCAATATTCTGTAGCAGAAGTTACAACTGCTGTATATATGGACAGCCCCATTTAACACTACTGCCTGGGAATGCAGATAGCATTCTATTCAAACAATTTATTTTATTGTTTAACTACAGAATACACTGTCACTTCGCTTTACAACACTGTGAAGTGTTTTGTGATGTCCTCCTGATGTGAAAGGTGTTTTACCAAATGCAAGTATTATTATTATTGTGTCATATCAATTATTCTTTTATTACCATTTGTTACTCGGCACTAAAACATTTCCACTAATATCCTCACCCACACAAAGCTCTACACACCTACCATTCAATCCTCAACGGGCTCAAGGGCTCCACTGAATAGGTTTAAAGTCTTCACTCTTATCAATCCCTTCATACCCTAGCACCTCCCAACCGCTTTGAACTTCTCATACTCTCTCCTCTGCTCAGCGAACACAGGCCTGGCGCACGTCACCTACCTCATGAGTGGCAGAGTCTTCAATCACTATACCTTAACCTCTGTAACTCCCTACCTCTAGCCCTACGCCTCCCCCCTCTGTAGCCATCTTTAACTCCCATGTTAGAATCTACCATCTTGACTGAGCCTATGGTCACCTGCCCTTCCTCCTTTTCCCTTGATTGCCGTTTAACATCCCACTGTGAAGCAGTCCAACTCGTGATCCTATTTGAAAGGCGCTATATAAATGTAAGTACAGTAAACTCCTGATAACTTGTTATTCCAAGGGAAACGGGCTCAACAACTAGTTATCTGGAGTGGCTAGTTAGGCATATGCCCTTCGGGGCCATGGGGGGCTCTGTGACTGATGCAGGTGCTCGGCGGCAATTGGGTGCGCATAATCAGATGCATTGCAGAGGCCTCTGATCTACTGGAGAGCCAAGGCTTCCTACCCTATCCTGCACCGGATAGGGTGGGAGGCAGAGCGGGAAGCACTCCATTCGACCAGAGGCCTCTGCAATGCATCTGAGCATGCATACCCAACCTCCGCTGAGCATCCACACAAATCACATGTTAAGGCAGGGAGGCCTCTCCGATGCAAGATGCCATCTTCTAGGACTAGTTATCCGATCAATTTTAATAATCCTAATAATTCTTGCACTTGATATAGCACCTTATCACATCATTGAGATGTCTCAAAATGCTTCACAGATTATACTGTAAAGTGAATTGACTGTATATTTTGTGGGCGAAACTTGTCTTTACTTGTCACTCCAATTAACACATAACTAGTTGCATTCTAGAAATTCTTGTAATCAAATCTTACCGCTCCCCCTTTTGCTTCTACTAAATCATCATTCTACTCCAAGACAATCTTGGAGGCTAAGGACAACCCCGGCTCCTCTTCTCCATCATCAACCGACTCCTCTGCCCATCCTCTAATGCCCCTCGCCCATCCTCAACTACAGTGCCAACTGTGAGGCAATGCTGGACTTCCTTGAATCCAATGTTGAGTGGATCTGCTCAGCTGCCTCTGCCCTTCCGTCTACTAACACTCCCCACCTCCTTTGTCTATCCACGATCTTGGAACGAGATGTTGCTTCCCAGCTTTGCTCCTTCCTCTCCCGCCACTCCCTTCACGAACCCCTCCAATTGGAGTTCTGTGCCACCCACAGCAAAGAAACAGCCCTGGTCAAAGTGACAAATGATATTCTGTCCAACTGCGACCAGGATTCCCTTTGTCTCCTCATTCTTCTTGATCTTTCTGCTGCCTTTGACACTGTTGACCACTCTATCCTCATCCACCACCTCTCCGCTCACCTCAACATTCGTGGTTCTGTTCTTGACTGGTTCAGATCGTACCTCTCAAACTGCCTCCACTTCATTTGCACAAACGGTTTCTCCTCTAGCCCCTGCACCGTCTCATGCAGCGTTCCTCAGGGTTCTGTCCTTAGTCCCCTTCTCCAACGTCTATATGCTCCCTCTTGGTGACATTATCCACAGACATGGGGTCAATTTCCACATCAACAATGTCAACAAGACCCAGGCCCTCCTGATTGGCTCCCATCAGCGCCTCCAAACATCAGGCGCTGACATTATCACACTGCTCCTCACTAAGCAGCCCGGAACCTTGGCATCTTGTTTGACTCTCAACTATCCTTTCTATACCACATCCAGCCTTGACCCGCTCTGTCTTCCCCCACCTCTGCAACATCGCCCGGCTCCGCCACTGTCTTACACCGGAGGCTGCCAAGACCTTCATACACACATTCATAACATCAAGGCTTGACTGTGCAAACTCCTTGCTTGTCAGCCTCACCAACTCCTCCCTCCTTAGGCCGCAAATCATCTAGAACTCTGCAGCCCATGTCCTCTCCCACACCAGGCTCCGTGACCCTACCACCCCCATCCTTACCGACTCCACTGGCTTCCCATCACACAGAGGATACAGTTGAAGATCCTGGTCCTCATCTTCAAAGCCCTCCATGGCCTCACTCTCCCCTACTTCTGCGACTTCCTAACCCCCTACCATCCTGCCCACTCCCTCTGCTCAGTGGGCTCCGGCCTGCTTCATGTGCCCCACCTTGCCTGCTCCACCATTGGCAGGCCAGTCTTCCGTCACTCTGCCCCCACCCTCTGGAACTCCATTCCGCAGTCCCTCTGTCTCGTCCCCTCCCTTGTCTCCTTCAAGACCTATCTCAAGACTCTCCTCTTCAACCGTGCTTTTGATCTCCCTGCTTCCCCCCCTGTTCTTCTTCATCCCCAATACCAACTCCCAGCTTGGGTCCAAAACTCTGTCTGTCCAGTGCCTTGTGACGTCCTCCCGACATGAAAGGTGCTATACAAATGTAACTTTGTTGTTGTTTATGCGGGGTAGCATCTCACATCGCTTAACAGTAGTGGAGCCTAATGCCAAACCAGAGGCAGGGGGAGGTGACTATAGGCACATCAGCACAGTCGAAGACAAGTCCTAGCCTCACCAGTCCTTCATTGTGACCTGTTTCAGTGATTAATTGCCTTCTCGGTAAAGAAATACTTTGTGGTGTCTGTCCTGAAATTGCCTTTGCAACTTTGAACCTTTGTGTCCTCTTGTGTTCTGATAATACAACCGCCTGTTCTATTTGTCATTCCAATCCATGATTGTCTGAAATAGTCCTAGAAATTCTTGTTTCCCAACAGATT